TAGTATTAATACATATATTTAGTAAAATTTCCCGACAAAACGGTTGGCGTGACACCGCTTCGGTAAGCGTACATCCGCCCCGTGGTGAACGTTTTTTTTACCAAAAAATTTAAACTGTTAGGGGAGCGTACTTTTTTAATTTACTTATATCTTAAATATTTCTTTTCACATACGAGTCTATTCTTTTTTATAAGGGAGGGTGAATAGACTTAAAACAGAACATCTGTCTGCTCTTATACCGTGTTGATAATTCGGGGACGAACATCCATAGCAAGTATTCAAACATGGCCTCAAGCATCAAAGAATTTTTGTGAATGAGAGCTTCATATATATAGCACTAGTACTTTTTTATGTTAAAAGAATTTGCTTAGCAAAGAAGATAAAATTACCAGAAAAGATCATTGATCTGTTTAATTAGTGGACAGCTCCTTTTTAATTAATCTTGATAATGGAAAAGATAACAGGATGTTTAATTTGTGGCTCAAATAATTTTATGAATTAAGTAGTTCATATATTCTGAAGAATATTTGGATAAAGTTATTCTCTAAACAAAGAAATAGCCGAAAAAACGAAACCATTGGATTTTACATCTTTAATTGTGATGATACTATATTCGAGACGATGGAATGGTGCTCTTTAACTCTCTTTAATTCCAAACTTTATTTGTAAACAAATTGAAGCTGTACGCCAATTCCCATTATGGTTCTAGATTTAAAGTATTAGTTTTAGCTTTTGAATGGGATTACTTTCCTCCTTTCCATTTGCAAAAGTTAAGAAAAATTTCCAAAAAAAGGTCTTGATTAATTAATCTCTTCAATTTAATTGAGCAGGCATTGGTTATTCAACCTGGAAATGAGTAAGCCCATTTTTAGAAGATAACTAATCTAATATAGAATTCCTTTTTGAGTTTAACTTCAACACAGTCAATTAAAAAATAACTTAAAATAATTAATATAAAGCGAAAATAGTAACCTGAAAATTTGATAACTAGAATATTAATCGTGTAATAATTATTTACAGTTCATAAGTTAAATTCATCTTGTTTTTGTTGCTTTGTTTTGACAAAGGTTAATTTGAGGACATTTTAGTGATTTTTTTTTTTTTTTTTAGGGGGGGGGGGGGGGGGGGGGGCGCTACTTTAATTAACCTGCTTTTTGGCGTGATTACATTGACTAATAATAATGTGACAGGGATTCTTGGAAATAATTAAGCTTTATTGAAAGTAATTAAGTTAATGATGCGATTAAGGAACCTTGATTTGAACATTTAGTTTGTGACTAATAACATGACAGGCCAGCCTTAGTCATGTCTCTTTGTCAATTGGTTTTGTTTCTTTTCTGAAAGGAAGGAAGGAGAAAAATGATACACGAGACGTGAGATTTGGCCAAAGAGTACAAGTTGGGTGAATTAAATTCCACAAAGAATCTTTTCCTTAAATTAAATTTTATTAGTTTATTATATTTTACCAGACATAGAGGTACAACAGTTATTGGAATATAAAGGGAAAAATATTACCAACTCTTGTAGTTTCGCCCGTGTTAGATCAAGTTACATCCCCATTTTGCCATGTTTTCATTGGCCACTTTCGTCGCACGAAATGAAAAAGTAAAAAAAAAAAATGTAACAAAAATGAATGCATTTCCTTCTCATTTACCTAATTGAAGTCTTAAAGTGTTTTTCTTTATTTCATATTTAGTGTTCGATATTTATTTTGGAGTTAGACTAATTTAAAATCACGCCGGACATACATGGATTTCAACTTACGCCTTCTATAAAATTACTTTTGCGTTTGCAAGTTCAAGAAATATTTGGGGATATATACATATTGATTAGTAGCTTAGTTTCTAATAAGAATGAGATAGGATAATTATTGTTACAACCTAATGGTTGTAATTTTCTCCTCGTATCATTATAGTATAAGGTTTTTTTTTTTTTTTTTTTTTTTTTTGGTTTTCATTTCGGTATTTGGTACCTGCATTGGGACCCGACTAAATTCGGATTCGCGCCCGAAAGTCCCACATTAGGAGGTAAAGCGCTCCGTAACAAAGACGATTTCATAACTAGGGTTTCAACTCTTCTCCTGCACATTCATGGATCCATCTAGGGGTGTTCGTCGGTCGGTACTGTACGTTATTTAGACATTTCGGTTCGGTATTCGGTTTCTTAAAATGCTATATTAATACCGTACCTAATTAAATTCGGATGGTTCGGGCTTTCTCCTTTCGGTTTCGGTTTATTCGGTTCGGTAACTTCGGTTTATTCGGTTTGAATACTAACTTGTGCGTAGAGTCATAGAATGTAATATTCTTAATTAAAGTACTCAAAAGTACAAAACTAAAAACGTTTGTTGAAAAAAGTTTTATCCAAAATCAGTAAATATCAACCCAGAGAGAGAAAATTATACATAAAAGAATAAATTTGATCATTAAAAATGTCTTGTTACTTGCTTGGAGTTACTTGATGAACTTAGAGAATAAAGGAAAGCAAAATTTTAGATTTTTTATATTTTTGTTATAATTAATAATATGTGTATTTTGCAATATAACATATATTTCGGTACGGTATCGGTATTTCAGTATTTTATTTTAAAATACCAAATACTATGCCTAATATCAATTTCTTTTAAAAATTAAACCAAATACCATACCGAATACCAAATACCAAAATTTTCGATTTCGGTACAATAAGTCGCTATTTACCAAACTATGCACAACCCTAGATTCATCCCACCGTAAAAAAAAAATTATGAAAATTAAAAACTATTGACAATAGGAAAAGGGGATGGCAATATTATATGTTTATTTTTTCCTTCCTTCAACTAGAAACATGCAAAAATTAATATGTTGTTCTCCTCTAAAATTAATTATTACTATGTTGTATTAACACCGTACACGTACAAATTTCATTTTTAAATAAATGGGGGTAGGTTAAGGAGTGGGAAAAGCATCGAATCACGTTCTCTTGCTCCTATAACATGGACTTAATTATGGTCATTATACAAGGATTTAGTGATATTAGTATTTAGTACTACTATATAATTAACTAGGATTTGTACTTGTGCTGAAAATTTGTTCCCTGCACGTGCGACTTGTTCTTTATAAAGTCAGTGCTTTCTCTGTTTTTGGAAAAATTTGAATTTTTTTGGATTGATTACCTATGTATAAAAAATGATTGTTATGTTTTTGAACATTTTTGCATAACTTGAATAAATTTGGATACTTTTTCTAAGTTACATAATCTACCTCTATTGAATTTCCCTAAACTTGGTTCTTTTAACTTAGACCATGATATTGTCCCTATCCACTTTAGTTGCATTATTTTTACTTAGCAGGTTTATGTTTTCTTTCCTAAAATGGTACTCCATTATTACTCTAGGTGTATTTTACAAAGCTAATTTACAATTTAATACGATAACATTGCTTTATTGGTTCCCTAACTTGTCATAAAAGAAAGTTATTTAACTATTGGAAAGGAATAGGCTCAAATACAACGGAGAAGATATGGAAAGTTTATATAGCAACTATGGCCCTTGAGTTTAGTTGCTTTTGTTTTAATATTATATCGTTAACAATAATTGTTTCTTCAATTTGTAGGTCTCAAACTTATAATTCCAATTGATCGCAACCTATATAAGAACCAAATTATCTATCGCTTTTAATCCTGTTTACATAGGCTCGTGTACATATTTTCGCTCCCTGCAAGTTTAAGCTGTGGATAGTTGTTGTAAGATAATTGGATAAATCCCCACAAAAGTAGATCTCTCATGTTTCGTCGATATATGTGAAAAATGCAAGGCATTGGTATGTTATTATGGTGCTGTATAACAATATTAGTGGTTGTTATAAAGGAAAAAAGAAATATCAAGATTTTAATAAATATCGACCAACCGAAAGCAAAATAATATCGCTTGTATTAATTTCTCCCAAAAGAAAACCTAAGATTAGGACATTTGAATGCATTTAGAAGGATTAGAAAATACATTTCACATGCAATTCCCTTTTGGCCATTTACTATAATTGACACTTAAGGTCTAGAACTAACTCAATTATTGTCTGGCCAGGAAGACATAGGCAAACAAAAGGAAATATGCTAGAGTGAACCCCACATTACTCCTTTTACTCTCAATCAAATGGAAATAATTTAATTTGGGTTTTGGGGGGCCTGTGCGAGAAAAAACTATTCACACCCTATACTTATATCAATTTAATAAAAACTACAATATTTGTCTTTACATGAATTTGTATTAGTTAATACTAGCTCTGTTTCAATTTAGATCACATTTCGCTCGTAGAGAGTTACTTTAACTAAATTTTGAAGCTAAATTGAATTAATTCAACTCAGTATTTTAAAATTAGAATTTAGATATTCAAAAACTATACAAAAAGTACTATAAGTTGTAATTTTTTTCATGTTAATATGATTAAAAAATACATTTTTAAATGTTGGTCAAACTCCACAGAGTTTTACTCTCGGTAAGTGAAATGTGTCATTAAAATTGAAACGAAGGGAGTAGTAGTTGATCAGCCAGTAAATACAACTACAATAAATATATCTCTTGTTTATAATCAATTTTTTTCCTAGTATAGTTTGATATAAACATCGAGCATGAATAATAAAACTGTTTTGTGGGGAGGGTGTTTTCAGAAAAAGGAAGGCAAAATTAGTGGACTGTAACTGCATCGATCAATTGTAGTTGTACTTGTCTAAAGAATCAATGAGCGTGAGAGCAAAAGCCAAAAATATCTCAAAACCTTTGTGGGTGATAGCTTTGCACCACTTGTATTATATGACTAAAAACTATTTACAAGATTCTGCTATTATGTTCTTGTTCAAGAATATGTTCATAGGCATAACTATAGTAAATATATAAATTCACCCAAAAATATCATAGCATAGTATCATTTGAACTCACCACCATAACCATATGATATAATTATTAAAAGTCAAACCCAAGAATAAAATTATTCTAGATAGTTGCATTAACTTAGAGACTTAGGAAATAGCTTGGGAGAATATTGAGCATGTTATTAATAATATTACTATATTATATTACATCAATAGAGAAACAAACTTCCCAAATACAACTACATAAGTTCTTGAAAGATGAGATTACAAACCCCACATGTACAAGAACTCCAATAGTTACTACTATTATTTCCCTCAAAAGGAATTTATTCTTAACACTACTTGATAAAAGAGAAAGCTTAACATAAGTACTAATGCTTCTACTACTTGATACATATTTTTATCTTAGATCTATTACTTAAAAAAGATTCTCTCTTTTAATTCTTTTTCTCTTCAACCAACCATCTCATATTCGGATATTCGGAACTGGCTGGTCCGCCTAATCAGTACTGCAAGACATATCAACCATCTAATATTCGAAACTCACTGATCCGACTAATCAGTACTGCAAGACATCTGCAGTCATAATAGGCTGATTGGCACAAAGATAATTCCAAGAATTGGTCATGTTGAACCCATCAACCATAGGTTCATTTTGTGCAAAATTGAAGCTATAAGGCTCTTCTTGATTATGGTCCATATTGGCAAAACCATTACAATTGTTGTTGGCATCCAAGAAAGCAATAATTTCATTGAGTGATTCAAGCCTGTGGTTTAATTCAGCTAATTGAGCTCTCAAGATTGAATTTTCAGCCTCAACATTAAGATAATGTTGTGTGGTAACATTCATACTTGTCAAAATCTGGTTATTTTCTTTTCTTAATGTTGCAACTTGAGCCATTAAATCATCCAAATGCTTCTGTTTTCTCATCCTTGATCTTCGAGCTGATTCTCTGTTTGATATCATTCTCTTCCTCTTCCTTTGATCCATTAATTGCTGAAGATCTTCTTCTGAGCCTGAGTTTTGTAGAAATAATGATGATCCTGATGATGTTCCACTTGATGAAGCCATGACCAAATTTTTTCAAGAACAATAGTAATATTTTCAAGATTTAGAGAGAGTTAAAAGTACAAAATAAAAAACTAGCAGGACCCAAATGGAGCTTTTGACTTAGAAACAGATAACTAGGAAAAATATTGAAGATTTTATTTATTTTATAATAATATATAAAGAGGGTTAATATATAAGAGAAATACTTAATTAGGGGGAGAAGAGCAAAATCATGAAATGTAGTAAAACCAGTAGAGGAAAACAACTGAGAAAGATTGCACCAAATGGGTCCTGCGCCTATATGTGGAATTTATCATAAACCCCGAAAGAAACAGTTCACTGAGAATTGCAGACATGAATTTCAAAGATTAAAAATACTAGGGGTAGCATTAAGATTAGCTAAAATAATAAAACCACTGATGATTAATTCTTAGTAAATATATATCAAGGCTAGATTTCTCCTGTTGAGAGCCCAGCCAGATAACAAAAGAAGAAAATTAACAAAAAGACACTTTCATGGTATTTTTTTCAGAGATTTTGGGTGGAGATTTCAAGAAAATCTTGAAACCAAAAACTAAAACTTGACAGAATAAGAGACCAAGAAAAAGAGAGCCTTTGGCTATTGGCAAAGAGCAGAGAAAAGGAAGGAGAAAAAGAGAGGGGTTAAAGAAGGTGTTTTGGCTGTGATTTTATAGAAGAAAAAGGTGGGTGACAACAATTAAAAAATAGATTTTAGTAGTTTATATGGACCCTTATATAGTATATATTTTTACATTATTAATATTTTTATATTATTATAGCAGGTGATTTGTCTTACTTTTAAAGTTAATAATGTTTTTTATCTACAATTACTTACTTTTATTTTCTCGGTGACATAATAATATAAAAAAGTTACTACATGTATAACAAAATTTTATTATGTTGAATACTTTTTACGTGTGTTAGTGTGTTACAGTAGGCAATATGTTCATTTTTTTAAGTTACTAATCTCATATTTATAAAAAAAAAAAAAAAAGATAATAATTATAAGTAACCTAATAATGCGTAAAAAATAATTTACATTATCATTTGTAAACTTAAACTCAGATAAAAAGTTGTTCAAAGAACTAGAAGAAAAAACAAAAAACGAATTGAGGGGTAAAAATAAATACTTATAAAAAAAGAAGTTTGGAATCTACTCAGGGAAAAGGTGGGGTGGGGTAGGGAGGAAGGTGATGGGGACATGTGGGGTGGGAGCAGAAACCTCCGCGACCGTCTAGATCCAGCTGTGGAGCAACATCATATACTAAAGACAAGTTAAAATCTTCAACTATTCTCTTTCCTCGTAAGTCCTTAAATTTTTCCACAATATCACTTAAGCCCACATAAACTTGGCAATCTTTTTTTTTTTTTTTTTACTTTTTTGAAAAAGAAAAATTGGGGGAGGCGATTATACGTGGACCGTGGTGAATTAATCGTTTACCGACAAAGTAAAAGTTCAAACAATCAATCTATTGAGCTACTAATGTCTAATTATTGCTCTATTAGTTGAAATAACGAAGAGGAAGTGTATAGATGTCAGTGAGGAGGTGTGAGAGATTTGGCTATGAGGGGTTGAGGAGAGGTAGAGGTAGGCCTAAGAAGTATCAGGGAGAGTGATTAGGCATGATATGACACTACTTCAACTTACTGAGGACATGACCCTTGATAGGAAGATATGGATTCGAGAATTAGGATAGAAGAGTAGTGATTTAGCTGGCATATCTTATTTATATGCCGATCTCATTAGTGTTTGTCTCGTATTTTCATTTCTTCGTATCCGCATATTTCGTATACTATATGTCGTCAAGTATTCTCTTTCCTCGTAAGTCCTCAAATTTTGCCTCCATATCAATAAAGACTACATAAACTTGGAAATACCACAGCAACAACATACCTAGTATTATCATATATTGTTGGGGGGAGGGGGGGGAGGGGGGAAGATCTGTGGAGGATAGTGTGTACGACTTTATCCCTATCCTGTGAGGATAGAGAGGTTGTTTCCAGTAGACCCTGTCTTCCACAATTATGTTTTATCAACAAGAAAATTCAAAAATGAGTTACAACCTGTTTGATTAAATTTTGGGAAAGTGCTTCTAAGTGAAATTTCTTCAAAAGTGCTTTTGGCGAGAAATTATTATTTTTTTATTTCTCAAAAACTGCTTTTATTTCTACTAAAAAGTAATTTTTTCTTCCTAAAGCTTGGCGGGATTTGAAACTTATGAGTTTGTGATTCTAAATCTTTTAAGTTAGTGGATTCTAAATTAATAAATTGTACATGGTTAATAAATTTCTTAAGACAAACACATAGTTTGGACTAAAGCTACTAGGTTTTGCCGAATCCATAGGTTCTACTTTTGGCCAAAGAAAAAAAAACACTTTTGGCCCAAGAAACGCTTGAGCAAACGGGCTATTAGTATAACATTTTCAAGTAAAAATGGCGTGTGGTAACCACTAAATAAGGTAGTGTTTATTTTTTATCCACCAATTTTTGATGCTGAGCAAAAATAGCCGCTACTCTATTAAAATTATTTTGAAAAGATATTTTTACCCTTTCTTCCATTTCTTTCCCAAACCCTCGCTTCTCTCTGTACAGAAGTGGCTGGCTATGTGTGCTTCTCTCTCAATCTCTTTTGTGCATTTTTTCTCTCAGTAACACATGGCTATGTCTCTGATCTTAAACTCACCCTTCAACCAAGCTATTCTAAGTTTGCATCCTTAAATGCATTGTAACTTATTAGTTCCTTCTGTATAAAGTGTCTTTTAATTCATGTGTTTGTGTCTCGAAAAAACACCATGAATGCCTTTTAGAAGATATTTCATGAAAGAGAAAATGAAGGTTTTGTAGTCTTTTATTTTTTTGGTTGTTTCTTTTTGTTATTAGCTTTATGTTGTGTAATCTGACATCAATCTTATATGTAAATTACAATTATTATTATTTTTATTTTTTTTGTGAAAAGATACAAATAACGTTTGATTTTCTACTACTTTATGGATCCTGAACTTACAGTTACAAGTCCAAAAGTTAAGGACACTTGGTCCTGAACTTCGAGTTCCAAGTTCAAAAGTTAATGACACTTGGTCCTGAACTTAGAATTACAAGTTCAAAAGTTAAGGACACTTGGTCCTGAACTTAGACTAACAAGCTCAATAGTTAAGGACAATAGGTCCTGAACTTACAGTTACAAGTTCAAAAGTTAAGTACAATAGGTCCTGAAGTCCTGAAATTAGACTAACAAGCTCAAAAGTTAAGGACAATAGGTCCTGAACTTAGGCTAAGAAGCCCAAAAGTTAAGGACAATAGGTCCTGAAGTCCTGAACTTAGACTAACAAGCTCAAAAATTAAGGACAATAGGTCCTGAAGTCCTGAACTTAGACTAACAAGCTCACAAGTTAAGGACAATAGGTCCTGAACTTAGGCTAAGAAGCCTAAAAGTTAAGGACAATAGGTCCTGAACTTAGACTAACAAGCTCAAAAGTTAAGGACACTAGGTCCTGAACTTACAGTTACAAGTTCAAAAGTTCAGGACATGTAATCCTGAAGTCTTGAAGTTAAGTTCTAAAGTTAAAGACATGTAGTCCTGAAGTCCTGAAGTTAAGTTCAAAAGTTAAGGACATGTAGTCCTGAAGTTAAGTTCAAAAGTTAAGGACATGTAGTCCTGAAGTCTTGAACTTAGAGTTCTAAGTTCAAAAGTTAAGGACATAGAGTCATGAAGTTCTGAAGTTTAAGTTCAAAAGTTAAGGACATGAGCAGAAGGGTATTTTTGTCCGGGCAGTTAAAGTTTATTAAAGCAGTGGCTAAAAATTAAAGATATTTTAAACAGTGACTTAAAAGTAAATGGAATTTTTACCTCCTATAGCAAAAGTTGATACCTTATTTATTTTAAACAAATATCATTTAAAAAAATTATATTCCATAGCTAACTTTTGATTTTTATAGCCAAATATCTATTTATGGTCACCTCCTACACTTAAGCCATAAAATACGCTTTGTATTATTTTTCTCTCTCATTCTTTCAGATTTTTCTTCACCCTCTCTCTCTCAACGCCAGTTTCTCCATAAATACAAACTCATGGATTCTCTCTCATCAGTTTCTCCGTAGATTGTTTTTCCGAGCAATCAACAGGAATCTTTTGGGACTTTAACTTCTTGGCAATTTCTTCTTCAGTGGGTGCTAGCAATTTCTTCCGATTCGTTACCAGCGGGTGCTAGCAATTCAGTACTGGGACTTTAACTTCTTCAGATGCGTTATGGATGCTAGCAATTTCTTCTTCAGCGATCTTTCTCGTTTTCTTCTTCTTTCTCTCATCGCTGCTTATGGAATCATGGTCGGAATTCGATGGATCGTCGGAAAATCGTCGGCGAAAAATAGGTCGTCTGAAGTTTGGGGTTGAGCAACTTGAAGATTATGTTACCTTTTTTTTTAAAGTGTATTTCAATGTATCTCGCTGTATTTCTATGTATTTCATTATATTCACTATCTTTTTTTTCATTGTATTTCAAGGTATTCCCGCTGTATTCTATGTATTTCATTATATTCACTGTCTCGCTATATGCCATGAATGTATTCATATATTTTTTTTAATTAATATAATTTATATATTCAGATGTATTATATAATTTCTCTGAAGATTGCTATATTTTTGGGGTATTTTTCGGTTGAGAATCTTTTTTATAACTGGAAATCCAAAATTTGTGTGTTATAATTGAGTTTGTTGAGTTATATTAGGAGTCTATTATGTTAATTGATTCACTTTTCGTTTAAAAACAGTGTAATCCCCTGTTTCACGCCGTGAATACAGTCAAATACAGTCGAATACAATAATCTGTCCAGCTGTAATCCCATGTTTCACGCCATGAATACAGTCGAATACACTCGAATACAACAACTTATTAGCTGGACTTCCCTGATTCACGCCTATTTTTGCTACTTTATTCATGAATACCATAGCTTAAATACATCTAATACATCTTATAACAACAGAAAACGTATCTACAATCCGTAATATAGCAAATGATATCTGTAAATTGCTAATTACCACTAAAAGATAGTGCTTTATGAAAAATTTTCATAATTAATACATGTGTTATTAGTAATTAACCGTGCACTTCCCCATTTTCAAAGACAAAACTTAAGGGAATATTTTCCTTTTTAGGGAAAAGAAAATGAAGATGTAATCCAGGTCCATGTGTCCAAGTTGCAAATGAAGTCTTTTTAAGAAATAACTTTATAGTACAACACAGTGGTAAAGAGTACACACGGGGGAAAAGGCAATTAAAACAAAGTTACAAGGTAAGGTGTCTTCATATTATTGCTTTGGGTAGTTAAAAGGTCTATTCCCGTCTACTCTTCACTACAGTTAGAAATAACTTACAGTAAGCTTTTCACTTTTCTTCTTTTACTTTTTTTTTATTAAATTTTGCTTTTGTCTTTTTCTTTTTCATTTTTAGTTTGTTTCTTTTTAGATGTGATGTTTTTAAATGACACGAGTCATCTTGGTTAATGAAGTATTATTGGGATGTGTAGGTAAGCAGTAGAGTAAATTGTCCGAAACGCCCCTAAATGATTCAGATTTCCGTACATATTTAGTGGTAATTTTGTCATCCCATTCGCACACCCATGCAGATTCCTTTGAGTCTGTTTTTGGTCCACATCTCTGGTTGTTGTTTTTC